TATTAATGCATTATACAATTCCAAAACTAACAAATATTGGAATGTCTAAAGTTATTACGCCTAATAATCTTCCATTTACTCAATATACTCCTCCTGAACTTTTGGCAAAAAAATCTATAAATGATAAAACAAAATTAAACATCTACAGTTTAGGCGTATTATTCTGGGAAATATCTAGTAATGGTGTCGAACCTTTTCAAGATAACTATGATAAATCATTAGCAGACAAGATAATTACTGGAGCTAGAGAATCGCCTATAAGAGGAACGCCTCTTGGATATGTTAATCTTTATAAAACATGTTGGGATAAGGATCCCGGTAATTGTAAATGTGTATAATGATATGATTATTTTATATTCATTTCTTTATATGACTAACATGATTAATTGCAGATAAAAGACCTAATTGTCATAAAATAATTGAAGAATTAGATAATATTTCTTTTGAACAAATATATAATGAAGATGCTAAAGATTCATTGGAAAGTACAAACCAAATCGACAACTTCTTTAAATTATCTAAAGGTCGCAATCGTAATAATCATGATTTTGCTATTACAAAGAAAGATATTTTTAAGAATGTTGAAGTAAAAACAGATAAAGCAGATTTTACTCCAATTGTTTTCCTCGTAAAAATAAATACAAGTCATTGGGAGGTTTTAAATAATTTATCTCCATGTTCGACCGGTGGTCATCTGTTTGCTGACGCTGATAAGATACAAATTCATATTCCAGTTGGTACTATAGAATATTGTGGAAATTTAAATGCTGATTTCATTCAAGAAATTAAGGATGCGCTCAACATTTCAAATATAGATGAAAAAAAGAATAAATTAAAAGAAATATTTAATGATTATGGAAATTATGTGATTACAAAGTTCACTATTGGTGGGATGATAACGATTGATTGTTCAAAAGCCGATTCTAAAAGTGTAGAATGTCTACAGACATATCTTTCTTGGGGCGTCAGTTATGCAAAAGGCGAATCTTTGCCTACTTTTGAGCTCACATCACTTGATGGTTTTCCATCATTTGAAACTTTGCCATCGCGACCGCAACCCATGAAATGCGCTAGAGACTTTTATTCTTGGCTAAAAGATTTACATGATTATAAAAATGTGACTATTATATCATATGAAGGTTATAAACCATCATTTGAATTATTAGATGAACAACTAAAAAATGGGATTTTTGAATGCTTTTCCTTTAAACCCAACAATCAAGGTCTTCCAAAATTAATTCCACAACTTCCTGCTACATATGAACAAAAAAGCTTTTCAGAATGGGTACCAAAACCTTCATTATTATCACATGTACATGATTTGATAGAAAACTATCTTTCGCTGCAGTATAATATCTTTTTAAAACATTACTCCAAATTAGGGTATGGAAAAAGCATTAGGTTTAAATTTCCAAATCAACCTAAAATTATCCCAACGAAAAAAATTACTATTTCATTCATTTATCCTAAAAATCAACATATTACTCATTTATCATATAATTTAGATAAATTAAATTTTGATAAAGCTTATTATCATATTACTCCAATAGATGATATTAAATGTTCTACACAAATTTATTGTCAAATTACATATCATGCGGCAGAAATTTCTTGGGATTCATCAAGTATAATACCTGCAGAACTCTATAAAGATTCTCCTGAAGCAATTGAAAATTATTACGGCAACACTTTACCAAAAACCTTAACCATTGGTGGCACGCTAACAACATATGAAGCTTGTAATATTTCTAACTTAGCTTACAAATTTCCGCAAGAAATATTACCAGAAAAAATTGATCAAATTTTAGCAAAATTGAATATTGATACATCATTTATTAGTAATAATGGAAATGTTATTAATAGAAATCAGATTAAAGATTGGTTGGAAGTCTTTATCACTAATCCTGAAAATTGGAAAATTATTTCTTTCGGTGATTGGTCTCCATCTTATAAAACCTTACATCAATTTCGGGAAGATATAAAGTTTGTTTCTAATAATGTATATCAGATTGTTTTTAATGGAGAAAACACATTTAGTCGAGAGGATCAGAATATTGTAGTTATTAAATTTCCTCAGCCACTTATCAACGATAATTATCAAATTTTTGGACATATTTTAAAGAAATATCCTGATAATTTGGGAGAAACTTGGGAAAAAATTCCAGAAGTAACTATCGCATTTAGTGATGTAAACAAATACGGGTGCACTGCGATTATTTACAAAAATAATAATATAACGTAAGTATTAAAATCTTTATACTCATGAACATAGATCGAATGAATATAGCTCTATTATTGGTGGTCATTCAATATGGCACCTTTCAGATATTTATCAAATGTAAACACATTTAATAATATCTTAAAGGTGCATGTTTCTATGTTAAATATTGATTATATTAAGTATTTGATATATACAATAGTTTACCGATTCCTTTCATTCGATCTATGAAAATTGTACACTTTTTTAAGCCCCGATTATTTTTAAAATATTCACAACACTAATAAATATTTACAATTTAATCAATCACACATTTAAATGTTGTACTCTAGATTAGATTCCTCTGAATTGGTATCTATAATTTAGAATGGTCAGAATTAGAATTATTAGAATTATCAGTCAGAATTATTGTATATTAAAAATTTAATTAGCATTATGTTCAAGTAAAAATTTGAATTTTGACCAACAAAATTTTTGATCAAAATTACTATGACAAATTCTAATTTAGAGTACAACATATGGTAAATGCTGACATTGGATCATACTGAAATATTATGAAATCTGCATTATATTTAAACATACATTTATTTATAAAATTTGTACCATATAATTCAAATATTTTTGTTATAATCTTGTATTAATATTAATAACAAATGTATTGTAATTCGGTTAATTAGTTCAAGTAATAAGTTATGATAAAAAAAAATTCAGTATGATCCAATTACATTATTTTGACGGGCTTAAGAAAGTAATTAATACTATACATATTTTATTAATTCAAATCTTTAACTTTAAAAAAGATTAAACAAAGATATAACTAAAATTAAATGGTTTGTACTTGCTAAATCAGGAGAATACTGTGCGGATAATTATAGAAATCTTAAAGTTACCTGTGGAAAGATTGATATTGATGTCTCTCAAAGTGAAATTTTTATTAGAACTGATGATATTAATACAAATTATACTCTTGTGACTTCATCTGTTCATAAACCACAAAGCGATACTACTCGTTATTATGATATTACACTTAACTATTGGACTAAATATGAAGTCGTCCTAAAAATTCGGAGAGATAAACATAATATTTTTGGAGAATCTGAAATTTCAAATGAAAATAATAAAATTAAAGATGGATCAAAACCATACCTACAGGAAAAGATAACTCTCAATTGGTGTATAATAAATGAAAAAGAATTGAAGAACAAAAATAAAGAGGCATGTCAATTAAATCAATGTGGGGTTGTTCTTGATGATGACTTAAGAAAAGATTGTGATGATCTTATAGATTGTGAACCAAATTATTTATCGTCATTGAATACAATTAAACAAAATCCATTATCAATTAACTTTAATTCAGGTAGCTTTTTATGTTTAGATAAAAATTCTAAAGGGAATGAATGGATTATAAAAGTTGCTATAAAAACTGAGAATGAGTCACTAGCAAACAGGGATCGCACCAAAGATATAAAAGCAAGAAACGCATATGCATTAAAAATACCACTAAATGCTCCAACTTTGAATAGTTTGGTAGATGAAATAAAAATCAATATTATTAAATTCATATTATACCCAAAAAATCTATCATTAACATGCAAAAATTGGAATAATATTGTCAATGATTCACAAGCAAGGGCAGAATGGATTCTTCATCAATATGGAAATGCACATTCACTTTTTCACGCAGTTAGACTCGGTCCAAGCTTTATAAACATATCTGTTGTTCAATCAATACTTTCCAAAGGAGGTTTATTTTCTCGATATTTTGCTCAAAGATTGTGTATGCATTTTGGTCGATATGATAATAAACTCATAGAACTTAAAATAAGGCATATGGGTCAAGCTGATGCAGATAGAATTCGACGACTTCAACAAAAAAATAATTTACCTTGGGCTAGTAACTTGCCTATCCTAGTTTTCACTCATCTGGTTACCGAAGCTTCAAAACGTTTTGGTGAAAAGGAACTTGCATTGAAAGGGAATGATTTAGAACTATTTCATTTTTACACTGCAGGTCCACATGTTATAACAAATGCACAGAATATATTAGTAAAAAATATGGATCTCATCAAAACACTTATTTATCAATATAAATTTATACCATTCCCTCCGAGGTCTACTGCTAAATCATCTAATTTTCCTGAAGAATACCCTCCAAAAGATGGCTATGAAAATAATAGGCAATTAAACGTGATTGCTCGAGCAATCTTGATTCATAAAGACTTAGTAAGAATGTGGATTGATATAGGTTATTTTGACATCTGTAAAGATGTGAATGATTTGGTTTTACAAGGTGCGATCTTAATACTTTACCCTCCTATGCCTCCAAATGAATGGACCCGTCCGGATGTAAATAAAATCAATGAACGCCTCACAGAGTTTATAGAACTTGGATTTAAACTGACCTATTCACTTATTTGTGATATTCTTCAATTATTTGAACACCGGTTAGATGATATTGGTGAAACTTTACTTGAATCATTTTCATATCTTAAAAAAGACGAGCACTTTTTCGAGAATTGTACTATAGAAACGATTAAACCACAACGTAATCTTAAGAAAATGGATTTATTAAATTTCTTATATCGTAGTATGAAACAAAATCAGGAAAGAATATTCTTAAATGCAATGAGATTTCATGGACTAGATAATCATTTAATTGATAATGAAAAACTTAAAACATATACACCTATAAAATCACTATCATTAACACCCATTTACTACTATTGGTCCCTTTTAAAGTTCAAAGCCAATTCACTTATAGCATCACTTTGTTTTAAGGATATTTTACAAACGAGGATCAGTATTGATATTAAACGACAGAGTTCCGATGAAATATTAAATGGAACTCAAACCGAAATCGAAATAGCCTGCAATATTTATAATATTTATTGCAATACAAAAAATTTCTTTTTACCTATTTATTTGAATTCAATTTCTTTAGTGTCAGATTATGATATACTTGGACCATTGTTCAAATAATTGAAGAATATCACAAATAAGTGAATAGGTCAGTTTAAATCCAAGTTCTATAAACTCTGTG